TTCCCTCAGGCTTCCAAAATAGTGGACCCAACCAACTAAATGGCTTAGGAAACCCGAAGGTTCATCACCGAATTAACCAAAGCCCTCCACCGGACCCTGTCCTGGGCCAACAAAATCCAGTCGCCTTCAACTCCTATCTCCCACAGATCCCGCCTGACATTATCCTCCCATCTACGTCTAGGTCTCTCCAGAGGTCTCTTCCCCTCAGGCTTCCCAACCAACACACGATGCACACCTCTTGTCCCATCCATGCGCGCTACATGCCCCGCCCATCTCATTCTTCTCGACTTAATCACCCTGACAATTTAGGGGAAGGAGTATCCATTTTTAAGCTCATCTGTGATCAGACCGGGAATTCATAAAGATCACGCGTAATCTCATTTATCGTATGCGAGTGATGGAGTTCAGAGACCTGACGCTCTGAAAGCGGTGATGATGCATTTGGCGATCTTCTGGGGTCGTTTAGGAATATCCTGCTGCTTCCATCTTCAGTCCTGAAGATGGAAGCAGCATGTGCTCTGTCATCCTTACCTGATTCTCCTTTCTTGACTTTTTCCTTGTCCTGCTCTGTCCCACCCATGGCCGGTGCTGAGATCCCAGAAAGAGGGTCCTTGTTGTCTTTGTAGCCAGACAGCGTTGTCATCAGCTTGGTACCACCGCCATTACTGCAGTCTCCAATCATAAGCGGCTCAGAAATCACCATCTGCTGATTACCAGCTACATTCAACTGATGATACTGTTTGTCTTGAGGAGATGATACCGGCGCCTTAGCAACTGGAGCGTCGGTGTAGTCCCACATCTTCCTCTTCCGTCCTCCAGGAACTGTTATACCATTGCTCGCAGACGTCGAAGTGTTACTGACGGCAACAGCCAGGTTATTCTTAACGTTATTCAAAGCCAATTTCAATTCATTTGGCCAGGAGAAAAGATCATCGGATCCATTATCATCCGACGCTATTTCAGTGGAGCTTGAAGCGGGGCTAATTGCGTCTGACCACGTTTGAACTTTGTTACCCCCTTGTTCATCGTTACTTTCGGGGTTATTCTCAGGCGCTTCTAATGGCTGATTGTCCGGAAAGGGTAAATCCATGATTCCAGCAACATCATTTAATATCACCTGAACTTCCATGCCTTTGAGGACACGCATTTGTCGGCCGTAGATACCGACGGACTTCCTTACGCACGGCAGTGAGAAGAACTTCTGAAATTTAGACTCTTGTTTCGGTACAAAACTTTTTGAAGGATGTTCACTGGAATGTGCTATTTGGTCTTCAAAATTTGAAGTAAAATCTGGAACTGTTCTGAAGAGACTGCCAGCCTTCCAGTCACACGAAACATCACTTTGCCTTCTACTGCACGTGAGAGACTTAGTTATTGTACTACAGATAACTTAGAAACAAAAACAATTTCAAAAAAAGCAGTAGTTACGCATATATAATACTATTTGTTGGCAGATGAAGTTGGTATCCCATGAAAATCACTACCATTTATGATTCTTTGAAGAAATCTGCGTTCTTTTTATTACGAATTCAACTTCTTTCGAGGACCGTGATCTCCTTCGCACTGAGGGCCAAGCGATGGGACTCTGGATCAACACACCACGTCTGACTTCCTGTACATGGAGGTTTGATGACGGCGATACTAATACAAGGGGCAAGGTCCTCTGGGTGACGACTTTTTCTCTGTCGACTCTGTTGCTTTTTCTGCTCACAAAATCTTCTGGCTCTATACACAACCATCACCATGACCACTTTGGGTAACAAAATAAAAACGAAATTCAGGTTGTAGTAGGAAGTGAGATCAAATATTATCACGAGATGTTGAGGCACACAAATATGTGCCAAGTTGTTATAAAGAGACTCCTAAAACTATCTTAGGATTTAGCAAAACACTTGCACAGACTCCAGAAGCCTTTCATTGGGTAAACAGACTCGTTAACAGTCTGCACCTCCGTAATCAAACAAACATCACTAGAGATGCAAGACTGTATCAATCTATTGCAAATCTTCAGCAATATCATCAATGATTAAACCCACAATTGGCTTGGCAAATGTCTTATATCCGTCCTAGAACGCAGTAACCAGCGTACATATGTGACTGCAAATTTTAAATTTACGTAGGCGGCCTAGATGTTCCTGTCAGTAAAAAACCAACTCTGACTGCATACAATGCCACAACCTAGACGAAGAGACGGTAAAATCCTCTTGCGTTCACGTTTCGGAATCCAGTAGAAGCGACGACGCGAAGGGGCCCTCTGACACGCGCCTAAAGGTTTAAACTGTAAATTGCTTCCAGAGTACTGGTACTCTGTGTTATCAATCGTACGAGGTTGATGATTAACGGGTGGTGGTGGTTCCGTGTCCCAATACATTCAGCGTCTCTGCAACACAGAAACAAAAGGTACCATGTTAGACATCGTGCAGACAGTACCACAAGGTTTGCAGATTGTTTACACTAGCATATCAGTTACACACAGAACTTCAGAGACAAAAGTACATGTACATAAATAATTAAGTTGTTTGCAGAAAACTTACAGTGAAACTTTATTAACAGACAAAAATCTCAATCAAACACATGAAACAATGCAAGTCGTCACCAAATAAATGTGTCCTATATATTTCCATGGAGCACAGTCCTTGAAAATGCATTTTTGTCTCAAAAACTTTTTTCTCCTATTACCGAGCCTACGTGGAACAAAACTTGTCGTGATAACTTTACGCTGTCCCGTCGTCTCACAAGGAAACAGCACTAGGAAAACCTATCAAGGTGCTCAAAGAACCTAGAAAACCTACCAAGGGGTTCAAAGAACTCAGAAAACCTACCAAGGGGCTCAAAGAACCGAGAGAACCTACCAAGGGGCTCAAAGAACTCAGAAAACCTACCAAGGGGCTCAAAGAACTCAGAAAACCTACCAAGGCGCTCAAAGAACCGAGAAAACCTACCAAGGTGCTCAAAGAACTGAAAAAACCTATCAAGGTGCTCAAAGAACCGATAAAACCTACCAAGGGGCTTAAAGAACTCAGAAAACCTACCAAGGGGCTCAAAGAACCTGAAAAAACGTCGATGAATGTCTACCAGCCGATAAAACCTACCAAGGGGCTTAAAGAACTCAGAAAACCTACCAAGGGGTTCAAAGAACTCAGAAAACCTACCAAGGGGATCAAAGAACTCAGGAAAAACCTATCAAGGTCCTACCAAGGGGATCAAAGAACTCAGAAAACCTACCAAGGTGCTCAAAGAACTGAAAAAACCTACCAAGGGGATCAAAGAACTCAGAAAACCTACCAAGGTGCTCAAAGAACTGAAAAAACCTATCAAGGTGCTCAAAGAACTGAAAAAACCTATCAAGGGGCTCAAAGAACTGAAAAAACCTACCAAGGGGATCAAAGAACTCAGAAAACCTACCAAGGTGCTCAAAGAACTGAAAAACCTACCAAGGTGCTCAAAGAACTCAGAAAACCTGTGTGCAAGTTACCAACTACTTATACCAAGAAAAATACCCTGGCGACGCCGTACAATACCAAGGGCGACTGATATAAGATTTTAATAATAGGTATACCGTGTTCTTGTTCATCGGATCTTCCTTTTAAGCTATAGAAAGCAAAACTTCTCTTTCACTCATTCTAATTGCCCTTAACTAATGTCCTCTGCGTGCTAGACAAAACCTGGATTGTTTTGGAACAATGTTTCATATGTTCAATGGTTTACACCAATTTGAGCAACTATGTGAAATAAATGTAGCCAGTTCTGAAACTAACGAGCATCAATGCCAAAGCGGGGAACTTACCAGCACTTACCTGCACGCCTCAGTTTAGAATTCTACAGTACTAACAATTTCGTAAAGGTTCATTACATCATTTTGCGTATTTTAATACATAAATGGTCTTGATGTTGTATTTAAGATTCTCACGGCGGCGAGTATAAAGACTGGCTCTTCTGGTATACGTTTACCGAAGTTTCAGAGGTACTTCCTGCCACCATCATCAGAGCGATCTTATGATGAAGGCAGCAAGGCCCTCTGAAACGTCGATGAATGTCTACCAGACTACACGGCTCTACAACCCAGAAGACAGCCATCTTCGGACTCGCAGCCATGAACAACCCAAATCCTAAATACATCTACTGTTGCAAAGCTAGACATAATATGTGATAAATAATTCTTCAGATAGTGTAGTTGCGTCATACTGTGATTTATTAAATTAAAATTAAATTATTTGGTTATTCCGTCAAATCAGTGTAATAAATTAAGATAATTAAAATAATTAAAATATCATTCTGTGTTCCATATCGAATAATCGATTTACAATTGGAACAGTTACAACATGTTTCGGTTTTATTAAACCATCATCAGGTGTAAAATTCGATTATTCGATATGGAACACAGAATGATATTTTAATTATCTTATTTTAAATACATTGTGATTTGACGGAATAACCAAATAATTTACTTTTAATTTAAATAATTCTTCGTTAAACACACTCGCTCAAAAACATGTCAAAATATCATTCTGATTGAACGACCTTTCTTAAGCAGCGTAACGAAGTTCGATTTGAGCTCAAATGCGCCAGACAACGTTCGATGAAAGCCCCAAAAGTAGAAATGTCGATGAAATAGATCAATAGTTCTCGACAAAAGACGAGAACGGATGGACACTTCCTCTCGCTTTTGTGTTCATTTTATGCACAAACTCCAGTCACTATTGGGGCGGTGCTTATCTATCTTCAGGGCTCAGGAAAAAATGTTACAACTTCCCAGTAATTCAAAACCGCTGCTTCAAATTAATTTCTGGGGTGTTTTGTAAAATGTTTACACTTATCAGAACATACCAAAGTTACAAGCAAAACTGTTGCCCAGTTTGTACTCCGCCGTACAGCAGTCGTTAGTGAGCTACTATCGCAAGTCGATGTCACCGGTAAACAGTCACGAAATTAGTCAATTAGCAGGCCTATCTATGCTACTGATTTTCGGTAAAACACGCTATTCTCTAAGTAATGATTCCGTTCCCCACAAAACGCAAATACAAGGTGAGAGTAAGTATCCAAACACGCCCTGACCTTATACAGGGCTAGTCTAAATGATGTTCCCGATTTTAAACACGTGTTACTCACGTTTAATGAAATTCAGATGCACAAAATTGGTGCCTATGGAAAGAGAAACTCTCCAAGTTTATGTTTGGCGGTGCCAAAATTTATAACTTGTGTTGGGCAAGGCCGTGGTCTAGGCAACACGGAGTTTTCCTCCGTGGCATCCCAACAATTACTCCATTCACACTCACACAGAAGAAGGCAATGGCAAACCACTTCTGGATCATCTGCCAAGAACGTATATGAACAGGTCCCAGTACGAGAAAAGGATGGGAGGATCCTGTTCATATGGACCTGTCATCAGACAGAACACTAAATAAATA